GGAGGGGGAGAGGAGAGGACAAATGAACGGAGCAGTGCTGGGTCCGGCGGATCCTGCGGAGACTGGGACTCTCTCCCAGGCGCCTTCCAGCTGGGTTCAGAATGTTAGAATTACGTACTTAAATCTTGAGTTGAATGTTTACTTGCTTATCACGGAAGAGTAACAGGTAGAAACAACCAGCAGACATTTGGTCTTGGGAATTTGAAGCCTCGTTGGAGAGGCAGAGCCTGTGAAGAGCCGGTGACAGGGTGGGTTTGTGGCCCGACGTGATGAGGATGCCGTCACGGAGGCCGACTGCTGAGGCTCGTGTGTTTTTGGGCAGTGCCCTGCGGTGGATGAGCTGGATGGGAGTGGGGGCACAGGAATCAGGGAGCAGTTGTGAGGCCTGGATCTGATCGTGCCTCTGTTCCTCATGGGCTCAGCCCTTCGGCACCTGGGATTCTGCATTCCAGGTGTTAGAGTTGTTTACTGCAGGGCTGACAGCCATTCCCACCAGCCACATTGAACTCTTCACATTCTCTCTAGCGCTGCATGAGATTCAGGAGGGTTATTAAATTTTAGGTGTTTTTGAGATGGAGTCTCGCTCTGATGCCTGGCTGGAGTGCAGTGGCATGATCTCGGCTCACTGCAAGCTCCACCTCTCGGGTTCACGCCGTTCTCCTGCCTCAGCCTCCCGAGTAGCTGGGACTATAGGCGCCCGCCACCTCGCCTGGCTAGTTTTTTGTATTTTTAATAGAGACGGGGTTTCACCGTGTTAGCCAGGATGGTCTCGATCTCCTGACCTCATGATCCACCTGCCTCGGCCTCCCAAAGTGCTGGGATTACAGGCGTGAGCCACCGCACCCGGCCGGGAGGGTTATTTAAAAAGAGCAGCATTGGCCGGGTGCGGTGACTCACACCTGTAATCCCAGCACTTTGGGAGGCCGAGGCAGGTGGATCACGAGGTCAGGAGATCGAGACCATCCTGGCTAACACGGTGAAACCCCGTCTCTACTAAAAATACAAAAATTAGCCGGGCGTGGTGGTGGGCGCCTGTAAGTCCCAGCTACTCGGGAGGCTGAGGCAGGAGAATGGCATGAACCCGGGAGGCGGAGCTTGCAGTGAGCGGAGATCACACCACTGGGCAACACAGCGAGACTCCATCTCAAAAAAAAAAAAAAAAAAGGTAGCACCACCTGGCCTGGGCCCAGACTGTCCAAGCAGCCTTCGCCCGAGGTGCTGGGAGAGTTCCATGGCCGCTGTGCAGGGCACTGTGTTGCCACCTTGTACCAAGATCCATGGGAAGATAGAAACTAGGAAAATTGCAGGGGAGGTGGCCAGAGGAGGAAAGGGTGTGGTGTGGCCAGCAAGTGCCTGGGGCAGCGAGGACGTGCTGTGTGTGTGTTTGTAAGTAACGTGCACTGAGGACAAATCTGAGAAACCACAGATGGGGCCAGATCCCACCATGAAAACCAAATCCTGGCGAACATCTTGGAACGTTTTCTTCTTCCCGTCTTATGTTTTTGCTGTTTCTAGGCCAGCTTGATTGTGTCACACGGCCGTGACATGTGTGCAGTTTGGGCTCTCAGAGCAACTTTTTGTTTTCTTACGTGTTATTTCTGGGCACAAAGGTGCTTTATTTTTTTTTATTATTAGACTTTAAGTTCTAGGGTGCATGTGCACAACGTGGAGGTTTGTTACATATGTATACATGTGCCATGTTGGTGTGCTGCACCCATTAACTCGTCATTTACATTAGGTATATCTCCTAATGGTATCCACCCCCCCACAATAGGCCCTGGTGTGTGATGTTCCCCTTCCTGTATCCAAGTGATCTCATTGTTCAGTTCCCACCTATGAGTGAGAACATGCAGTGTTTGGTTTTCTGTTCTTGCGATAGTTTGCTGAGAATGATGGTTTCCAGCTGCATCCATGTCCCTACAAAGGACACAAACTCATCCTTTTTTATGGCTGCATAGTATCTGGGCACAAAAGTGCTTTTTTTTTTTTTTTTTTAAAAAAAGTGTGGAATAAAAATGTGTCGTAGAAATTCCCAATAAACAGAATGAAACCATGTGGAATTGTGAGCCAGATAAAAGGCCACAGAAATGAGACACTTCGCCAGGACGCACGGGCTAAGGAGCCGAGGCTGTGGAGGGGTCACCGGTGGGCAGCCCACGGCGGGGCTGCTGGGAGCACCTTCTGTTTCCGTGTCCCCTGCCGTCTGCTGTGCTGACTGGATGAGAGCGCGAACCCTCTGCCGCAGTTCCATGTGGTCTGAGGCTTGAGGAAGGTGTGGCCGGGGATGCAGGGAGCTCACGTGGCTTTTCCCTCATCCACTGAAAGTGGCCTCGAAACGTGAATTGGTTTCACTTAGCCAGCGTAAGCAGAAACGGTATTTGATCATTGTTTCTGAAAGAGGTTTCTTTATTGTTGTTGTTGTTGTTTTTAAATTACAGAGAGAAAAGACCAGTATCTTAAACAAAGCTGTGGTATATTACGTAGAAAAATAGCAATCTGGGCTGGGCGCAGTGGCTCAAGCCTGTAATCCCAGCACTCTGGGAGGCCGAGACGGGCGGATCACGAGGTCAGGAGATCGAGACCATCCTGGCTAACACGGTGAAACCCTGTCTCTACTAAAAGATACAAAAAAAAAAGCCGGGCGAGGTAGCGGGCACCTGTAGTCCCAGCTACTCGGGGGGCTGAGGCAGGAGAATGGTGTAAACCCAGGAGGTGGAGCTTGCAGTGAGCCGAGATCCAACCACTGCACTCCAGCCTGGGCAACAGAGCGAGACTCCGTCTCAAAAAAAAAAAAAAAAGAAAACTAGCAATCTGAACCGCTAACACACACAAGCCTTCATATTTGTAGTGTCTGTGATACGTTCCGTCTCTTCCAGGCCTGCTTTTAACAGAACCTCTGAAGTTTGAGATCATAGCTTGTTCTCAGAGAAGACTTCTTACTCTTTTGACATGATTTATAGTCGAATCATTGATTTAGACAAGGGGTCAGAATCAGAATACAAGTCTACAAAGAGCCTTATCAGTGTCTCAGTGACAGGCAGACATACATTCCCATTCAGAAATCACTGGGCTTCTGGTCGCAAGGCTGTGCCACGGCAGCGTCCCACGTGGCTCGCTCCGTTCCTCCAGGCAGGTCCGTTGGCTGGGCGCCTGGGTCTTGCCTCTGTACCTGCCTCTCCCACGGTGCGGCGTGCCCTGCCACACCGCTGACTCTGCCACGGCCTCCACGCTCCATGATAGCCAGCGCCCATCCCTTGACCCATTGGTGCCCCTTTAGGCTGTCCCCTCAAAGTCTCAGGGCCTGGAAGGACCCCTGTTACAGGGTGAGGAGCTGGGAAATGTTTGTGAATTGTTGGCAGTGCAATTTTTACATCCCAGAGAAAGAACACACATCTTTTAAAAAGAAAACCTCAGTGGTGAGCTTCAGAAACCATGACTTTGATACTGGTGACTGAGGCACGAGCCGGGCACCCTCCTTCCTCGTGCGAGTCGTTCCTCTGGGTTGCAGTGAGGGCAGGTCTCTCTTTACAGAATTGTCCCAGCTCATCATGAACAAACGGTGAGAGATGACACGTCACCATTTCACTGCAGCCCTAGTGCATTAATGCATTTAGGTCGTGATCACTAAGGAGAGAGGTGTCGCTTGCCTCTGCGTGGAAGCCTGCCCCACTGCCTACAAAGTAATCTCACCAAACAAATTAGACAGGCGTCTAGATCTGAGTACCCTGTTTCAGAAAAGCCAGGAGTCCAGGGTGCTGTCGGTCAAACCCAGAGACGGAAAGTGCCAGGACCCACAAGAGCAACCAACAAGCCTGGCTGGGGTCTCGATTCAAACAAACTTTAAACAAATGAACATATAGGGACTTTTTGTTGTTGTTTTTTAAGACAGAGCCTCCCTGTGTTGCTGGCTCACTGTAGCCTCTGCCTTCTGGGCTCAAACGGTCCTCCCACCTCAGCCTCTCAAGTAGCTGGGACCACAGGTGTGTGCCACCAATGCCCAGCTAATTTTTTGTGTGTGTTTTTTTTTAAGAGACAGGGTTTTACCATGTTGCCCAGGCGGGTCTCAAACTCCTGAGCTTAAACCTTACCTCCTTGGCCTCCCAAAGTGCTGGGATTCCAGGCATGAGCTGCCATGCCCAGTGGAGAGCCTTCATCTTTCAGAGGTAAAGCCTGGTAGATTTCGTGTGGAAATGACGTGCTGTCTGAGATTTGCTTTGGGACAGTTCTGGAAGTGGGTGGAGGCTTTGGCAAAACAGGATTCACCTTGAGCTGATAATTATTGATCTAAGAGGTAGGATGTGTGGGATTTGTTACATTTTTATCTCTATTTTACTTTCATGTTAGAAATTTTCCATAGTAAAAACTTTAGAGTTAGGAACAAAATATTAAAGTAAAAACTTTAGAGATAGGAACAAAAAAATATGGCTCCTTTTAGCCTCCCCAAAATGGCACAGGTGTTCCCGGGTTTGTGGGCAGTGCCTGGGATGGGGTTGGAAACCACTTCACATGTGTCTGTGCGCACGTCCTTGCCCTGAAAGACCCTGCTCAGGTGCTGCCAGTACCTGCTCACTGGAGTGAGAACATGGGAAAGTTTTTACCAAACAGCCTGGACCACGTCTGATTAATCTACACATACTTGCTTGCTGTCCTGATGAAGTGCCGGCCGCTGACAGCCGTTTCTGTAACCAGCGCTTTCATCCATCAGGGTGTCATTTAATTAGGGGACCACAGCCTCGTCCCTGCTCCGTGATGTGCAAGTTAAGCACAAATCTGCTTGTTCTGTGACCATCTGTGGTAGGAGAGGCATCATGCTGTTGGTGGAGGTTCTCTTTCCTAGCTCCACATAGACGCTCTGTGTGGTGAGGGCCTAACTGATGACGTAGAAGGGGTAGGTGGGCTGGTCTCTTAGGTGTCTGCAGCCTGGAGTGGGGACCGCTGGGTCCTGGGCTTCCCGAGAGTTCAGTGCTCACCACACTGAAGGTCATGCTTCTGCTTTTCAGACTGGGCCAGCGCCATCCGCGTGGCGGCTCTGGACTGCATGGAAGAGAAGAACCAGGCCGTGTGCCATGACTATGACATCCACTTCTACCCCACCTTCCGGGTGAGTATCACGGGGTTGTATGTTGAAATTCGCCACATCGTAGTGCCTGTGTTTTGGCCTCTCTGGCTCTCTCCTTGAAACTTTGTAGGAATTGTAGGAACTGATGTTTGCTAGGGGCAGCTCTTGTTCCACCCTGTTGTGCTGCAGAAGTGTCTGTGGGACTGTCCATGCTCACACAGCCCCGGTCACATGGCGGGGATGCGTGAAAAGACCTCCTGCAGCCTGCGTGGCCAGAGGGCGCAAGGACACCAGGAGCACAAGGGCCGGCACCCCAGCCTGAAGCCACGCATGTGGTCTGTGTACCACGGGGCTCCCCTCGGTGGAACACACACACACGTGCACACTCACACACACACCCACAGGGCCTCTGCCTTCCTGAGCCAGGGTCAGCCCCGCAGAAGACAAGGCTGTGCCCGTTGCTCCCACTAGGGGGCAGAGGTACCTGTGACCTGTTGCAGGCCCGTGCATAGCATGTGTGTACACGCCGGTGCCGCTGCCTCCTGCACGCCTTGACATGGACATCTCCAGAAATGTAGGCGCCTTGGGCCCACTTCCCAGGAAGCTCTGCGCCCCCGTCCTTGTCAGCCCTGGTGCCTTGCTGTGTGGTGTGGTGTCACGTCATGGTGGCTTCCCTTGTGTTTTGGGGGCTGTTGTTTTCACTGTGCTGGCAGCACCTGTGGTCCTGCCCCAACAGGTGCCACGCTGGGCAGCACCGGTGCCAGCCCCGCCCCAGGGCCTCTCGGGGCCTGTGTCGCACGCTTGCTTGCCTGCCCCTGCGTGTGATTACGTCAGGATGGCTTCCTGTTTTGTTTTAGCTTCAGACACAGGTCACGCTGTGCTGTGTGTAAACTTTCGGGCCGCCTTTCCATTACTTAATGGGACGTTGCTCAGATCCACTACGATGCTCATTGGATGGGATTGTCCAGTGATGTCACTCTGAGAACCAGAACCCCCCGTTGCCAGGCATGTGGCCTCTTCGAGGCTTTGGTGGCTTTGAATAGCACTGCTGTATTCATTCCCGGGCACGGGAAGAGCCGAGGCTGGGAGAGAAGCCACTGGGTCGCGAACCAGGTCTGTGCACAACAGACCTGCAGGGCCAGCAGCGTCAGGCAGTTTCGTGCTCGCCCAGGGAGCGGTGCAGTCGGAAGCACCGGCAGCTTCATTTGCATTTCCCTGGCGGCTGCGGTGCCAGCACATCAGGCTTCATGGGCCGTGGGTGTCACGGGTGAAGTGTCTGCCTGTCGTCTGCACATTTCCCTCTTGGCTGGCCGGTGCTTTTCTTACCGACCTGATCTCCGCCATCCTGTAACCTTGTCTCGTCGCTGTCTTTGATGTGCCCTTTGATGAAGAAAGTTTTTAATTTTAACCTAAGAACTCCGTCATCCACTGAGAGGTACTGCATAGTGTCTCCTCCTCCTGCAGATCTCTGTGTGGTTACAGCTAACGTTACAGCTCACCATTAGGACACACGCTCACTACCAAGTCCCGGAGAGCTGTGTCTTTAGTGATTCCAGCCCAGTTGAACTGTCTTTTGCTTCTAGCCCTGTTGGGTCAGAAGATGTCAATGATGGGACTGCTGATTGGAGCTAACCTTAGCCCCCTCGTAAATCTGACAGGAAACACTAATATGCACAGAGACACGGAGAAGCGTGTGGTTTGTCATCAATTTATGAAAACTTTCCGAAGGAAATTGAGTAAAGCTCCTTCTCTAAGGTGACGGTCGTTTTGTTGCTTAAACACATATGCAGATGCCCACGCGAGGCTGCTGCTTACTTGTTCTGTGTGTTTCCTCTTAGTATTTTAAAGCATTTACCAAGGAGTTTACAACTGGCGAAAATTTTAAAGGTAAGGACATAAGCCTTGTATTTTAGTCCCTGCGATTCCCCTCCTAAACCTGCTAAACACACGCGGTCCCAGAGCCTGGGGAGCTCCCAGCCCGGGCCAGCACCTTTGCCTCTGCTGACCTTTCCTGCCTGCTTTCCCTCAAGAGTTCAGACGTTAATAGCTTCAAAGAGAAATTTTCATTTTGTGATTTGCCTTGCTTGGCAAATATGGTAGTAAAAACTTTTTCAGAGTAAATTTGTTATTATAAAAATATCTGGAGATGTACAGATCACATGTACACACCCGATGAATTTTTGCAAACCACCTCACCCAGGCGAGCATCACCCAGTGTGATCAGACCCCTCAGGCCGCACCTGGGGGGGCTCTGCCTGTAAGTGACCTGGTGGAATTGCCTGGCCTGCTCCTTGCCACGCCCTGGGGGGACTCTGCCTGCAAGTGACCCAGTGGAGCTGCCTGGCCTGCTCCTTGCCGCGCCGTGTCTTGCCATCTGCCTCTGTTGCCTGTCCGTGTGGCCCACCCATGCGTGTCTCATTGCCGTGTGGTCTCCAGTTGTGTGAATCCCGTGCTGTCTGTACCACGCCTGTAGGTGGCATTGGGCACACCCGCTGGGATTGCACACATTGCGGCCACCTGCACCCTGCTGTCTTTGGACCCCGGGCTGGGACGGGGCTGCTGTCCCTGGGTGTGCACCTGCCCCTCGAGGACAGCTGCACACACCTCTGACCCTGGTGCGCTTCCGGCAGGACCCGACCGAGAGCTGCGAACAGTCAGACAGACCATGATTGACTTCCTGCAGAACCACACGGAAGGAAGCCGGCCGCCTGCCTGCCCGCCCCTGGACCCCATTCAGTGAGTAGCTCCAGGAAGAAGGTGGCTGTTAGACTCACATTGAGCTGTGCGAGAAGTGTAATAGGTTTCTCTTAAGTGATGTGGCCACTGGAATGTGGTGGGCAACTCGCTGCTGTTGACAGCACTAAAAGCCTCTTTTTTTTCTCTTGAAAGGCCCAGTGATGTTCTTTCCCTCCTTGACAACCATGGCAGCCATTACGTGGCTATTGTCTTTGAAAGCAACAGCTCCTACCTTGGACGGGAGGTACGGCCTCTGCGTGGGCTCCAGATGTCACACGTGGTGTGATTGGGGTTGGCGGTGCATCTGTGATGAGATTCGTGGATGCCGGTCACTGTGTCGGCGTCTTGTGTCCTGTCTGTGACTTTAGGTCTTGTTCATTATCGGAAGCGTAGTTAACGTTGCTCAGCAAAGTCATTGGTGTCTGGAGAAGACTGTTAGGAGGAACGAGCTTGGCGGTGGGAGGGGTTCGGAAGGTGGCCTAACCCCAGGTTTGAAACTAACAGAGGGCTTTGCAGAAGAGCTCATTTTTACGACAGGCTCAGCTCACCTTGAGGTCATTCTGTATTTCGCATGCAGTATTGCTGAGATTTTTTCATTGCTATATTCTGAACGCTTGACATTTTTGCCAAATCCAAGATTCCGTAAAACGTCATTTCTTTCATCATCATACTTTGATTTCACACGTACAGTTCTGAAGCCTCGCTTTTGGCCAGGTCTAAATAAGGTCCAGGGACCAGGTGCAGGGGCAGCCCAGGGAGAGTCATTATTGCCAAGTCTTTCCGGAGACGAAAGGCCTCACCGCGCACACGTTCGCCCAGCGCTCACCCTGAGCTTCTCCTCCTCCTCCTTGCAACCTGATAGGCAACTGTTTTTCTGTCCACTGGGGGGGCCTAGCGTTGAGTGGAGGAAACAGCGTTGCCCCTGCGAGGGCTTTTGGAGACACACTTGGGAAGGAAGCTGCAGACACCCGTGCTGCGACCATCTCGCTTCGTGCCCTGGCTGACCCCCTGGCACCCCAGCCCCGCCCCCTCCAGGTTTGGTGGTGATGCCAGGATGCCTTCCCGTGGTTGGCAGGGTTCTCCGTGGAGGGCTGAGGAACCGCTAGCGGTGTGTGGCTCTCCCAGACCCCTCGCCCTTGTCCCAAGGCCCCTCATGCCTTTGCTGTCTCAGGCAGGACCTCCACACACGCACACCAGAGGCAGGGGTTCCCCCGAGCAGAGGTGGGTGTGGGCCCGTGTTGCACGCTCCCCTACCTCCCTGGCGTGCTGCTGCATTCGGGGCAGCCAGGCTCCACCCGTGCAGGAGGAGTGCTCTTCAGCACAGAGTCACGGCACGGCCCAGGCACCAGCGCGGCCCAAGAGTAGTGATCAGCTCTTCGAAGACACACCCAGCTCAGGAGAGGCACGGCCACTCGGGGCGCCCAGTTCACCGCTTTAGCTAGGGCCCTTGGTTTGAGGAGCAGCTGGTTTTGTTGCTCTCTAAGAGAAGGAAAGACGTACGCCCGATGTGGTGTTGGCGCACACGGGGTTTCTTCCGAAATGCTGAGATGCCAGTCCTGTGCTCTCTCTGCCACCGAGACCCTGTTGCTGCCCCTTCAGCCTGAGCAGAACCAGACAGGAGCAGGGTGGCTGGGGAGGAGTGGCAGCTCGAGGCCTGCTGCCCCGGCCACGAAGCTTCCACACGGGGGACAGGAGCGTGAGGCCATGGGGCGTGGCTGCTGTGTATAAGGACTCACTTGACCAGTGTCAGTGTTGTTAGAGGCGCCCTGGTTTTAGAAAGTCAAGTGCAAATTCATGGATAAGGGTGTTCTTTGATTGGTCTGTAAAATTGCCAAATAACACTGGTTTCTGCGCATGGCGTGTGTGCCATCGGTTGCCTTAAAGTGCGATAGGAATTCAGATGTGCGTGAGGATGTGAGTGAGGGTCTTGCCTGCAGGGGGCACACTCCATGCCCTTCTGGGAAAGGTTCCCTGCAAGGCCGTGTATCTGCACGTCGTGTTTTCTGAGAAGCTGCCCGCCCCTGTGGAAGTGTCACTGTGTTCTCACCCCCCAGGTGATCTTAGACCTGATCCCGTATGAAGGCATCGTGGTGGTCCGGGCGCTGGATGGGGACAAAGCATTTCTGGAGAAGCTCGGTGTTTCCTCAGTTCCTGCGTGTTACCTGATCTACCCAAATGGGTCGCATGGATTGATTAACGTGTGAGTGCCCTGTGGGAGCTGGGAACCCCGTGACGTGCGGAGTTACTGAACAGAGGCTCCGAGTAGACCACGCAAGTCTGGTGTGAGATCCGGGGAGCCCTGGCCCCTCTGCCCAACTTCCCTGGGCAGATTTGGGCCCTGGCTCTCAGCCCTTGGGTATTGCTGATCTGTGCTGTGTTTTCGTGGATTTCTGTTTTCTCACTGCTGTGTCCCTGCACCTGGGAGGGGCCTGGCGTGGTGACTCACCAAGAGCCGCAGAGGAAACCGTGGCTAAACCCGCACATGCACAAGGGCTGCTGGGCCAGTGCTTCGGGAGCAGCAGATGCTCCTCAAACATGGCTCTGGGTAGACTCTGGGCTGCAGTTCGATCTGTATCTGGGGCTGGCAGGCAAGCCCGTGTGCCTGCCTCTGCAGAATGAGAAGTAGGGGTGGGCACCAGGCCCTGCCCCTCACGTTCTGCTCTCTTCTCTGAGAACCGCAGAACCTTGGCAAGCCATTTGCCTCTGCGCGGAGTGCCCGTGTGCCCCTCAGATAAGCCCTTCGCCTCTGCGCAGTGTGTGTGCCCCTCAGATAAGCCCTTCACCTCTGTGCGGAGTGCCCGTGTGCCCCTCAGATAAGCCCTTCGCCTCTGCACGGAGTGCCTGTGTGCCCCTCAGATAAGCTCTTTGCCTCTGCGCGGAGTGCCCGTGTGCCCTTCAGATAAGCCCAACAAAAAAGTAAACAACTTGAATAAGGTTAGAAAAACAGTGAGAGCCGGGCGCGGTGGCTCAAGCCTGTAATCCCAGCACTTTGGGAGGCCGAGACGGGCGGATCACGAGGTCAGGAGTTCGAGACCATCCTGGCTAACACGGTGAAACCCCGTCTCTACTAAAAAATACAAAAAACTAGCCGGGCGAGGTGGCGGGCGCCTGTAGTCCCGGCTACTCGGGAGGCTGAGGCAGGAGAATGGCGTAAAAACCCGGGAGGCGGAGCTTGCAGTGAGCTGAGATCCGGCCACTGCACTCCACCTGGGCGACACAGCGAGACTCTGTCTCAAAAAAAAAAAAAAAAAAAAAAGAAAAACAGTGAGAAAAATGAGGCTGGGCACAGGTGCATCATTTGAGTCTAGGAGTTCGAGACCAGCCCAGGCAACATAGTGAGACCCCGCCTATACTAAAAATAAAAAACTAGCCGGGCCTGGTGGTGTGTGCCTGTAGTCCCAGCTACTCAGGAGGCTGAGGTGGGAGGATTGCTTGAGCCTCAGAGGTCAAGGCTGCAGTGAGCTAAGATCATACCACTGCACTCCAGCCTGGGCAACAGAGCCAGACCCTGTCTCAAAAAAAAAAAAGTAAAAGAAAAAAAAAAAGATTGAGAAAGTTAAGTAACATCCTGAGGCTGGAGGGGACCCGGCCTCCTCACCTTGGGGAGAAGGACAGCATGAGGCCGGCCTTGCCCCACACTGGGTGGCCCCTTTCCCTGGCCTGAAGCCGCAGCGCCTCCGGCATGTGCGGGTTTAGCCACGGTTGACTCTGTGGCTCTTGGTGGCTCACCACACCAGGCTCCTAGGTGCAGGGACACATCAGTGAAGATAGGACATGTTTCCTGTCTCTTGGGGCTTCCAGTTTAGCCTCTTCAAAGATCGACTGGGGCATGGAGGGCGCCCTACAGAAGCCCCGAAGACCGCAGCTTCTTAGGTATTTTTCTGTCCTTTGGAAAAGGAGACCAGGCGTGGTGGCTTACCCCTGTCATCCCAGCACTTTGGGAGGCTGAGGTGAGAGGATTACTTGAGCCCAGGAGTCTGAGACCAGCCCAGGTTGATAATGAGACTCCAGACTATGAAAAATAAAACATTAGCTGGATGTGGCGGAGAGTGCCTGTGGCCACAGCTACTCAGGGTGCTAAGGTGGGAGGATCATTTGAGCCCAGGAGGTTGAGGCTGCAGTGAGCTGAGATTGCACCACTGCACTCCAGCCTGGGCAACAGAGCAAGATCCTGTCTCAAAAATAGGTAAGTGGAAATAAAAAAGATAAAGCTAGAATTCAGGGTAACCAGAGAGGCTGTTGAGCTTGTTAGGAGATGCTCTGAGTGCTTGGGGACCCCGCTGTGCCAACAAGGTGGCCCATTCCAGGCCTGGGGCACAGCACTGCCCTTGGCAGAGCGGCCTGAACCACTGCCAGATGTTTGTTTAGTGTTAAAAGTATCATATAGACAACTTCTTAGTGTCAAATAATGTTAGTAGTTTTATAGATATTTCAATATTTTTGCAAATATCACTGCTACATGCTGTCTTTGGAAACAAGCTCCACGTCACACTGAAGTGCTCGATAATGGCATTGAGGGTGTCCTCAGAAGGCAGCTCCACCCTGTCCACACGGGGCGGGCACACAGGGGGCTCAGCTCCACCCTGTCCACACGGGGCGGGCACGCAGGGGGCTCAGGGGCCTGACTTGAGGGAGGGGCTGGCGTCCACCCCAGGCCCCGACTTCCAGATGCCCCACTCAGGGCTGGCAGATTGTGGGCGCGTCGGTGAAGGCTCTTAGGCATGTCGGAAATCTCAGTCAGAATAAAGCTGATCTTGGCAGATGCTCAACCCAGCTTTACAAAACGCCTTAAGTTCCCCACAAACATAAATGAGTCATAGTACTTATGACAAGTGGAACTGGCTATAAATCTGTGGATTTGGTGTGTCTCCTCTTATCCCCAGGTGGAAGCTCAGCCGCGGCCCAGGCGGAGTGTCGGCTGTCCCCACAGACCCCCAGTCCCCAGTACATGCCCGAAGAATGGATGGGGTGGCCCAGAGCTTTCCTGAATGCCGGGGGCTCCTGCTTCAGGATTTTATAAAGGAGGCTCTTCTCACCTTTGCCCTCCCCTTTCTCACAGCGTGAAGCCTCTGCGGGCCTTCTTTTCCTCTTACCTGAAGTCATTGCCGGATGTGAGGAAAAAATCGCTTTCCTTGCCTGAAAAGCCAAACAAAGAAGAAAATTCAGAAGTCGTGGTTTGGAGAGAATTTGACAAGCAAGTATTCATTTTGAACCGAAGCCCCCGGGGCGCAGCGCGGGTAGACCGAAGGCTGCGTGCTTGCTGGGCGGGCTCACTCAGAAACCCACCCCAGCCGCTGAGGGCCGCTCAGGAGCCCTCCCGGGGGCCCCGGGAGTCCGTGGGGAGGAGCCAGGCCAGGGAGAGGTGCTGTGGAGGGAAAGGTTGGGCGTTCCCTGACTCTGCCGTGTCCCGTCGTAGGTCCAAGCTGTACACGGCGGACCTGGAGTCAGGGCTGCACTACCTCCTGCGGGTGGAGCTGGCAGCCCACAAGTCCCTGGCTGGAGCAGAGCTGAAGACGCTCAAGGACTTTGTGACTGTCTTGGCTAAGGTTTGGGACGGCTCTGGTCTGGGCTGCGTGTGGGAATTTGGCCCTGCACAGAGTGGGCCCTGGGGGCCGTCGGACGCTGCCGGGGCTCCGCCGTCTCCACTGAGGTGCTCTCCACCCTGCTTTGTCCGCTCAGGCCCGTGCCCCAACTCATTCCACCCGTTCCCGAGTGCCTCCTGCGTCCCATGCTGTTCCCAGCACTGGGGCTGGGGCGGTGGCTGTGGAGAGGGGCGGGGCCGTGAGCGAAGCACCTGTTGGAAAAGCCCAGCTCTGGCTTCCTGGAGAGGAGACGGAGGAGGGAACGGAGGCGCACACCTCAGCTGGCTCTCGGAGGAGCGGTGCACAGGGGCTGGGCGGGAGAGGGAAAGGCAGGGGCCGTGCAGATCCAGGTGGGGTGTGCACCTGCTCTGCCAGCCAGGTTCAGGGAGGGGTCCTGGGGGCTTCACACTCAGCACTGTCACAAGCACAGATGTGGTGTCTGAAACCACTGAAGGGGTTGCCAGGAGTGGGCAGAGATATGCAGCCCAACAGAGCTCAGGCCTGGCTGTGCCCAGGGCCAGGCTGAAGAGGACCAGCCAAGGAGGTGGCCAGGTGTAACTCCACGAGCTCACTTACTTGTCACTGTCTAAATGACCAGGGGGCTTAGGCTTAAACTATTTCTCTTGCCAAAAATAAGATGCTAGTGATAGAATAATTTATAGTCAGCACTTTGGATAGAGTTTACTTACAATGTGATTTGTGAAAAGTACAGGAAGCCTTGAAGGACCCGAGGCCCCGCAGATGAATGCACGAGCATCGCCTCGGCAGGTTTTTACCCCACGGTGCCATCCAGAGTTCAGAAATCTCTAGCTGGCCTCGTTTCCTTTAAGAAAGTGTCCTGCTAATCTGTCCATCATATTAGCGGCGGACAGTGTGGCTCTTAGTGGTGATGGCCGCCGGCTAATTCGCTGGAGTCACACAGCTGTTGCTAGGCAGACCTGCTCTCCTCTCCCCGCTTCTCTGTCTTCCCCCTCAGTCTAGTTAGGCCTGGAGCTTTTACACTTGTGCTCTAGGTAACTCCTTAGGCCAGGGTATTAGTAAGTTATTCTTGATATTTTTCTGAACTTTATTTGGATGTCCAAAATAAATTTGATACTGGTAAATTAATCATGGTACTTTTTAACCTGCATGGGAGAGTAATATATTGGACTGAGCTGAAGATGCCGGCGTTTCTGGTCTGGCATCGCCACCATGAGCTTCAGCTCGGGTTTTCGGAGCTCTTTCGGCAGCCTGCGTTTTGCACGGTTTGTGGTGCAGCAGCTGATCAGAGTTCCTCCTAAAAAGACAGAGCCCTGGGATCTTCTCAGCCAGATGCCTCCCTAAGCTGTGTTGATATCAGCCAGCCTCACAGCCCACACGAGGCCACAGGCAGTTAGCCCCGGCTGCCGGCACCTATGCACTGCCGCGCGCCCTTCACACAGTCAGCGATGACGGAAGGGAAGCCCAGCGGGCAGGCAGGTGGGGTCAGCGCAGCTCCTGGTGAGGAAGGCAGAATAAATCAGCAAGCCCCCGCCAGTTCCATGATGAGTCACACACCGTGACCTTGCCTGTCACCTGGAGGGAGCAAGGCTGTGGGCACAGGTGGGTGAGCTGCAGGCATGGGCTGGAGAAAGGCATGGCCGTGGGCGCAGGCTGTCCTGGGGAGAGGTGCTGGCTGGACGCCTGCCCCACAGCCCCTCAGGTTTCCTGCCTCCCATCAGAGAAACCCGAGTTCTGAGAGGCCCCGTCCTAGGTTCAGCCCCTCCACAGATGGAGTTGCTTGTCCCCGGAGGTGCTGTGTCCGGCGGTGGGGGCGGGCCCGGGTTGGGTCTGTAGCTCTCCAGTGGCTCCTTCCTCGTGCAGCTGTTCCCTGGACGACCGTCAGTCAGGAAACTGTTGGAGACGCTGCAGGAGTGGCTGGCCAGCCTTCCCCTGGACAGGATCCCCTACAACGCTGTGCTCGACCTGGTCAACAACAAGATGCGGGTGAGCCCCAGAACCCTTGCCAGCCACGCCGCGCCCTCCTTCCCTCGCCCTTAACTGTGATGAAGGGGAGCGGCGACTTACTGTCTCCCTGACAGCGTCATGGCTATGGCCTCGTGTCTGCCTTGGCAGCGTCATGCTGGGGCTTCAGTTTGAGGACAGCTCACCAAAAGTGCACTGTGACCACCTGTCCTTTGTACAAAATGGGGTTTTCTCAAGCAGTGTAGTACTTGGGCTTTTTAAATTTAGTAAGCCAATCTAAGGAAAAAAGTTATATTCAGTAAGTGTGGGCAGTCCTGCCGGAGCTTTCCCCAAGACCGGCTGCCAGCAGGTGCCAGTCTTCACTCAGGAGACCAGCACCCCGAGCGGTCCTGGCACTCCCTCTTGCCGTTCCCTCCTTAGTCCAGATCAGCAGCTTCTCTGTGGCCCCCAGAGCATTTAGTCACAGGCAGTAAACCCACCATGCTGCTTGTCCGACGCCCGCGTGGTCAGCGTGGCCGGCGTGGTCAGTGGCACACAGCAGGTCTTCTGGGAATCCTATAAGGTGCACTTAGCGTGCTGTGACTTTGCCAGCCTTGTCATTCGCTGGCTGCAGCTGAGAAGCAGACGGTGCTGGGCTGCTTGCCCAAGTCCGTCTTCCACCTTGACTCCACTCTGAGCTGGAGGTCATGGGCACACCCTCTCACGTGACTGTGACGTAGGACATCTCCCTCTAGCGCGCGTCCCAGGCTCAGGAGTCCTTAGGGAGGGAAAGGTGGATGAGACACAAAACCAAACCGAACGGAATCTGCCCAGGGCTCACAGCCCTCCCAGGCCAGCAGTCACCCGCTCTGAGGGCCACCCCATTGCTTCTCCAAAGTGAACACGCCTTGTTTCTTCTGGCCGAGGGTTATTTGAGGGTTGAGCTTTTGTATGTTGTTAGTTGCCTTTTCTCTTAATACTGTCCTTACAACTAATTCTAATTGAAAAGGTGAATCCTTTTTATGCTTAACACTACTGGTTTATCAAGATACAGAAGAGCTCGCTCTCCTCTTCAGAGTGGCTGGAGAGCTCCTTTAGTAAAGGAGACCATTTCCTCTCATTTGTTTTATTGAATTTAAATTTGCGTACGGTAGGAGGCACAGATCTTGTGTGTACAGTTGATACAGCTTCAGTAAACCACACCCCCATTAACCACCCCCCCAGTCAAGAAGGTATCTGTCGACTGTTTTTAATTTCAACAGTTATCTTTTATTCTTTGGGTTTGTTTTTTTTTTTTTTCAGATTTCTGGAATATTCCTTACTAATCACATAAAGTGGGTTGGATGTCAAGGAAGCCGATCTGAGTTGAGGGGTTACCCGTGTTCTCTCTGGAAACTGTTCCACACTTTGACTGTTGAAGCCTCAACCCACCCAGACGCCCTGGTTGGCACAGGTAAGCTGTCCCTGTCCAGGCCGGAGGGGCCGACGGACTGCCCGACACGTTAACCCAGCCGGTGTGTGCGAAGGCGCGTACTGCTGTATGTGAGGCAGCGTGTCGCCAGGGCACTGAGGCAGGGGAACCGCACCTCAGACTCCGCCCACAGGCAACTTACCCAGGGCTGTGGCTGCGGGGGCAACAGTTCCCCTTGTCAGAACTCACAAGGATGTGCGTGGCTAACGTGCAGGAAATAAACCATGGAGAAGAAAGGGAATGCTGGCTGGGAATTTTCCTGCAGTGTAAACTCCCTGTTTTTTTGCTCTAAAAAGACAGAATAGGCCGGGCACGGTGGCTGAAGCCTGTAATCCCAGCACTTTGGGAGGCTGAGACGGGCGGATCATGAGGTCAGGAGATCGAGACCATCCTGGCTGACACGGTGACCCTCTCTCTACTAAAAAATACAAAAAACTAGCCGGGCGAGGCGGCGGGCGCCTGTAGTCCCAGCTACTCGGGAGGCTGAGGCAGGAGAATGGCGGGAACCCGGGAGGCAGAGCTTGCAGTGAGCCGAGGCTGAGGCAAGAGAATGGCGGGAACCCGGGGGGCGGAGCTTGCAGTGAGCCGAGGCTGAGGCAGGAGAATGGCGTAAACCCGGGAGGCGGAGCTTGCAGTGAGCTGAGATCCGGCCACTGCACTCCAGCCCGGGCGACAGAGTGAGACTCCGTCTCAAAAAAAAAAAAAAAAAAAAGAGTAAGTGAAATCTATTTGGAGAGGTGTTTTCATTATCAGCTGTTGCATAACAAATCACCCTGAAATTTAGCAGCCAGAACTTCCCATGGTGATGAGCTCACAGTTTCTGAGGGTCGGGCATGGCCTCATCTGGGTCCTCGTCTTCAGGATTGGTCAGGCTGCAATCGGAGTGTCAGCGGGGCCTGGGGGGTCACCTGAGACCCACCTAGGGAGAGTGGCTTCCCAGCCCCCTCATGGGGCAGAGAGCAGGGCACACCTCCTTGCACGTGGCTTGCCTAAGGCCCTGAGCTCCATGCTGGCTGTTGACTGCAGGCGCTTAGGGCCTCTCCGTGGGGCGGCTCACATCATAGCAGCAAGCCTCCTGAGCGAGCCAGTGAGAGGGTGCCCATCCGAGGATGACATTCCGTCACCTCTGTCAGATTCTGCTCAGTAGTCAGTCACCAGGCCCAGGCCACTCGCAAGGGGTGGACATTACAGGCGGGGTGAGTATAGGTGGCATGATCTCTGGGGACCGTCGCAGAGGCTGCCCACCGCAAGGGGTTAAAACCTATAAAACTTTGAAGTTGGATTTAATAATTTTCAATTACTAGGAAATAGATAAAATGAAATTTTCTGTCCTTTACAGAACACTAAAGTATGTATTGGATTTTTTATTCCCTCTGAATTTTGATGTGCGTGTGCTTCTCAGTTGAAGCAGTGATTCAGGTTCATTAATGTTTACTTGAAAGCCGAAGTGGAGTCTTGACTCACACAGTTCAATACTCTTTCCAGTAAAATTCTCAAATTCTTTTACAGTTCTTTTTTGCCACATAACAAACTAGCCTAAAATGCTGGGGCTTACAGCAGCCACCACTGTGTTTGCTTATCATGCTGTGGGTCAGCAGTTTAGACTGGGCTTGGCTGGGCGGTTCTTCTGTGAGTTGCTGCTTGGGCTCACTTGCGTGTCTGCCTTCATCTGGTGGCAGCTGGTCAGTCCAGGGGACCTTGGAATGCCTCGTGCTCCTGAATGTGGTTTCCCCACCAAGTAGCACCAGGTTCAGGCAGGACCCCCCCCCGAGAGGCCTCAGTGTGGAGTCACATACTATCACTTCTGCCGTATCCTGTTGATCTAGCCTAAATTCCTGGTGAGAGAAATAGATTCCACCTGTTAATGGGAGAAGCAGCAAAGTCACATTGCGGGAGAGTGTCCTGGGATGGGGGCACCGTAGTGGCCATCTGAAAATCTACTGTTTTGGCCCTCCTCAAGGTGACACTGGATTACTGCTTCTCGAGGGTCTGGTTAGGGGAGAGGGTGGGTTTTAACCTCAAATCCTTTTCATAATGATACAGAAAAAAAGAGTAGTATGTTTTTGTGGAGAAACGTTGGGAGCTGTCCAAACAGAAATTGAAATCAGAGCATCCACACTGCCTGATCTAATGCCCAGCCAGACCATGTAAACCTGATTCTGGGCCATGCACAAGGTTCACACCTGTAATCCCAGCACTGGAGGCTGCAGTGAGCCGAGATCATGCCACTGCACTCCAGCCTGGGCAAAAGCAAGACTGTCTCAAAAAAAATAACTGTTTCTGAAACGTGAGGCTGAGTTAGGAAACCTCACATTTACACACAGAAAGTTCTGGTGAGGAGATGAGCTGACACGCCATTCCCCTTTCCATCTGCTCTGATCACACGGGCACACGCAGGCCTGAGCCGACACGCCGTCCCCCTTTCCGTCTGCTCTCATCACACGGGCACATGTGGGCATGAGGAACGGTTCCTTGAAGGCAGTGTGGGTACAGTGTTGGCTGAGGGAAGAAGTTGAATGACCAGGGTATTTGATTTTAAACTATGCTAGCACCAGGCCTAGTGTAGTGGAATGGTAAGAGCAGCATGATGGCAAAGCATACGGCTGACAAGACCCTCAGCGCTCCTTCCTCCCATCAGCATATTGGAAGCAGCCTCCAGGAGTAGCCTCCTGCCAAGAGAATTGGGTCAGTGGCGACCACAGGATTAAGTCTTGGAAGGTTTTTCTTCTCTTTACTGTACGTTTAAGCCCCATCTAGTAAAATGCCTGCAAAGGCCTCTAATCCCCCCACAGGTAGAGGTTTATGGTTCTTGTCCACTTTAAAGATTAGGGTGGCCCCATGCTTGCGGCGATGTGGGGAAGAGGGAGGGGGATTACATGGAGATGCAAGGCAGATGTCTGTGGACCCCTCCCGGCAGGAGAGCAGGGCAGACGGGCCAGGTCACAGGGCCGGCGCCTGAGACACCGCCCAGCTGCCTGTGGACACACTCAAGGCCGAGGAGGAGGTGCTCTGCTCTACTCTCACCTTCTCTGGGTGAAATAAACAAGAAGTGTCAGGATTAAGGATCGACCAGGACGCTAAGATCAGGGCCTGCACGCAGCTGTGCTTTGCAGGGAGCCACAACAAGCGTCAGGCCTTTGCTTGCGCGGGAAGCTCCCCCAGGTCCTGCTGTCGATGAAGACGGATTCATTCGCGAAAGCATGTCTTTTTTTAATGCTGACATGTAATCTGTTTTAATCTCATGGGTCTCCTGTCTGTGCGTTCAAGCTCCCGTGTCGGTCGTCTGAGCGGGGACTGCCGAGCCCTGCCCCGTGCTGCCCCCTTGGTTTTCTTAGGGGTTCCCCTTGGGTGCGGTGCTGGCCACTTCCTGCCGCCTGCGGGCAGGGCTTTGCTTTCCTGAGACGCGCGTTCGTTCACAGCATCTGCAGGCACCCCGGCCTGTCCACGGCTGTTTTTACGTTCGGTGGCACAGACTCTGGCTTGTGGGTACACCCGTCCCTGTGCCTGCCCACCCGCTCCACATCCTCACGCCCGTGGCTGGCAGCAGCCTAGAGTCACTTCCTAAGGCCGTGTCCCCACTCGGGCTGGTGTCCTGCAGGGCTTTCAGACACGACAGCTGCAGATTTCACCCAGCTGGCAAATCCCAGGGAAGAATCATTGCTTGGCACTGCGGGCGTTCTGGCACAGACGGCCGGAAGCCTGGTGGGAGGTTCGTGGAGCTCCTGGAAAGGCTCCTTGGGGCCCTGGCGGCCAAGTCTGTGGCTCATCCTGGCACGTCCACCCTCTGGGCTGTCCACGGTCATCGTGTCTCCAGACACTGCGGCACCCGTGGGCATGTTGGACATCTTGGCTGGTGCTGGCTCCTGGTCTGTGCCCACAGCCTGAGGCCCCGGGGAGACGTGAGGTGGCTTCCCGACCTGTCAGGAGCAGTTTCCCCCAAGGCTCTCTGGACAGGCGTGGGGTCAGGTGATCCCCAGGCACCTGCCATTATCAGCACCTGCCATTGTCAGCGGTGTTTCTTCCCCTGCAGGCTTTGAAGACGACCCCCAGGCTGTGCTGCAGACGATGAGGAGGTACATTCACACCTTCTTTGGGTGTAAGGAATGTGGCGAGCACTTTGAGGAAATGGCTAAAGAATCCATGGACTCGGTGAAAACCCCAGACCAAGCCATCCTCTGGCTTTGGAAGAAACATAATGTGGTGAATGGCCGCCTGGCAGGTGAGAAGCCCCTGGGCGTGGGGGGCTCAGCACGGGCGGAGGGAGGCCCTGGTCCTGGGACAGCACGGATGGTGCGGCTGCGGTGGGGCTTGGCCCTGAGCTTTGTGGCCTCGTGCCACCCACTGTGCTGATGGGATCAGGACTTGGGTGGCTGGGAGCTGCCAGAGCCGCAGCCTTTCCCAGGCTGCTTCTGTCCCCAGCTTTCTAGATGGTTCTCTCACTCGGGGGGCTCTTGGACCCTCGTTGGAATGGGCGTGGCTCTTTCTTCCCCTGTCAGTAGCCACTGGTGCCCGTTAGACTCAGGATGTTTTCGTGGCTCGCTCTTCCACCGTCAGTGCCCACTGGTGCCCATTAGACTCTGAGGATGTTTTTGATTCTGGAAAGCTTGGAACGTAATTAATTGTTGATGAGGAATTGTAGTTGTATGAAAATTTGTTGTCCAAACGTAAACCAAACCTCTCAAAGTGATTTCGTTAAAAAAAAATAGTTAAATAGAGCACATGTATTTTCTCAGAGTCAAGTACTTCAAACTGTTCCTAAATCAGTGGCAGATTAAAATTAGGCTTAAAAATAATTCCACTGAGAAATAAATCTTAATAGAGATGAATAGAAAATGCCACTAAACTATTGGTTTTTATTTAATCCACTGTATTAGAAAAACATATTACAGCTGAAGCACTAAAGAAATTGGTTTTTCTTTGGCCTGAGCCTGACTGCCGGGGCCGTGGTCATGTGGCGAAGGCACCGCGTGTCTGTGGGATTTGTTCCCTGGGTCATCGCAGCTCCTCCGCCTCTCCACCCTGGCAGCCTCTGCATCGCCGCCGCCCACAGTGCTCCGTGTGCTTTCCCCGAGCCATCGGCTCTGAGGCGGTGGGACCAGGAACCTCACCAGGCCTGCCTGGACCTGTGGCCCCTGCTGTTACCTGTGGCCCCAGCCTGCATGTGCCTCCACCACTCCAGTCATGAGGCTGCAGCAGAAAGGGGCCTTACAGGCCGGGCGCGGTGGCTCACGCCTGTAATCCCAGCACTTTGGGAGGCCGAGACGGGCGGATCACGAGGTCAGGAGATCGAGACCATCCTGGCTAACACGGTGAAACCCTGTCTCTACTAAAATACAAAAAAAATTAGCCGGGCGAGGTGGCGGGCGCCTGTACTCCCAGCTACTCGGGAGGCTGAGGCAGGAGAATGGCATGAACCCGGGAGGCGGGGCTTGCAGTGAGCTGAGATCCGGCCGCTGTACTCCAGCCTGGGCAACAGAGCTAGACTCCGTCTCAAAAAAAAAAAAAAAAAAAAAAAAAAAAGGGGCCTTACAGCCCGGTGTGACTGTCCCTCCCGAGAGTCCCGCCCCACCCAGTCCCACCTCCAGCCTGTGCTTCAAGACCCAAGCTCCTGGGAGGCCCCTCGGAGATCCGCCCGGGGTCTTCTGCCCAGGACTCGCACCTGACTTCACAGTCCTGTGAGGCTCTGGCAGCTTCTGACCAAGCGCCGCTGATCTGTGCTTGTCCCCTCTGGCTTCGTGTGCAGCACCTGGCACCGGTTAGCAGGATAGGCAGTCAGTGACTGGCCCGAGCCGGGCATCTCTTGATTTCAGGCACGTGTGAAGTCCTCCAAACAAACGTGGTTGCGTTTACATTCACTTCTGGAAGCTCTCTGAGGGTGGCCGGGCGTCAGCAAGTCGGCTGGCAGGGGCTGGGAGAGTTGGGAGGCGCCGTCTGCCACGGCTTCTGCATGACGGATGCCTGTTGGGCCCAGGAGTGAGCAGGTGTTACTTTGGAAACGAGTTTTGGAGATTTGAAGGGATTTGTAGTCTGGAAAGGGCCCGTATATCTGAAGTGCAGTGGAAATTCATTGCTGCTCCTCTGCTCTTTCCCCTCTGCCCTTACCTGAGGCCCGCTGTCCATGGATCCCAGGTGGCCGGGGCACTGTGGGTAGAGGGCCTCAGGTGCACCCTCAGGAAAGGGCAGAGGGGCAGCAGTGAGGGGAGGGGCACACAGGCAGCACTGTGTGGACAAAGGCCTCGAGGTGAGAACTGCATGCTCCGTTTTGGAAGCAGAGTGCTGGGTGGTTTGGGACAGGTGCGGTCCGGGAGGTGGCGGAGGCTGAGCGTGTAGCGTCCCCTTACTTGCAGGCATGGGAACCGGCAGAGGGGAACACGTGCGCAGGGGCCTGCAGAAGCAGGATGTTACCTGGGCCACACTGCAAGGGAAGGGTGGTGGGAAGGGCAGGGAGGGAGGCCTGGCAGGACCCTGGGCTGGGGCAGCAGAGGCCCGCGGTGGTGGGAGTAGGAGTCCGGTTGCCTCACGCTGCACGTGGCTCCACAAAGCCCCCTTACCTCGGGCTCTCCCGCTTCCTTTCCTTCCTAGGCCATCTGAGTGAGGATCCCAGGTTTCCAAAGCTTCAGTGGCCCACTCCGGACCTCTGCCCAGCCTGCCACGAGGAAATTAAGGGCCTGGCCAGCTGGGATGAAGGCCACGTGCTCAGGTTCTTGAAGCAGCACTACACCCGCGACAACCTCTTAGACACGTATTCTGCAGACCAGGGGGATTCCGGTGAAGGAGGAGCCCTGGCCAGGGGTGAGGAAGAGGAGAAAAGACTCGCTCCCCCAGAGATGTCCCGTGGAGAGCGAGACGCCCAGAGCGTCCGTCCACCCAGTGTGCTGGGCCCCAGGCCCGCCCTTCCAGACAGCTTGCACCACAGCTTGGACGTGAAACTCCAGGATCCGGATGGGCCCGGGGTCCACAAGGAGGTGGGGGGCGCTGCACCCTTCCTCGGGGTTGACTTCTCCAGCCTGGACATGAGTCTCTGTGTCGTGCTGTACGTGGCCTCGTCCCTGTTCCTCATGGTGATGTACTTCTTCTTCCGGGTGAGGTCCAGGCGGTGGAAGGTCAAGCACCACCACCCGGCCGTGTGAGTGCCCGGGCGCTGCCAGCCATGGCGGAAGCTCCCTCGGAGGCAGCCCTGCCCTGTGCCACCTGCAGCTTTAACATGATCAGGGATTTTATAAACATGTGGGCCTGCTTTCACGTCGGACGGCACCTTTTGGCTTCCAAGTCCTGGTTTTACAAATGCTCTTCTAACAAGGGAAGAACACGGGGTAATTTTGTGGGGATGTTTGCATTCCTGGCATACTCAAGTCTGTTCATGCTCCTTTTGCAGGTCCTACAGCAAAAAGACTTCGGTATTTTTACTCTTCTAGATCTAAAAAGGAGGGTGGGAAGTCCAGGCCAAATAGTGTACCCCACACACTTTCATCTCGTTTCCTCGACTCTGCCTCATCCTGCAAGGCCTTCTTTTTGTATTTGGAGAAGAACCTCGCCCGCTCCCCCCGCAGCACCCCCTGCACCCTCTACTCCCTTGCCCCCCCCTGCTTCCCCCGTGCCCCCTGCCCCCTGCTCCAGGCTGCCAAGTGTTTTCCTTTGGCCGGGCGGGGACAGAGCAGAGTTCCAGGGACTATCCTATGCTTGTGGCCGCTTCCCTAGGGCAGGTTCCTGAGGGCTCTCGGTGTTCCACGCCAGATGTGGGGAATTCAACAGGGGAGGAACCACGGAATTCTGTGGCTGTGCTGCATTTCAGAAAATAACCCCCAGAGGCCTCGGGCAGTGGACTTGGGGGTTGGAAGGATGGCGGCTCATTTAACCCGCAGAGGCAGCGCCTTTGTCTATCTGGTGACGAGAGAGGCAGGTAAATGGGGGCCATTTGGCCACTGGTCCCTGGAGGGCAGCTCTGGGATCAGTGGGCAGTGCTCAGAGCAGAGGCCCCTCTGTTGGGGGGTGGGGAGGAGAGCGGTCTGCCCTTGGGAGCACAGGCCCCAGGGAGACTTCTAAAGCCCCCTGCGTTGTCTGCTCGTCACCCAGCACCAGAGGCGTCTGCCACACACTCAAGCGTCTCACTCGGCCCGTGGAGGGGCGGAGGTGGCAGGGGCCTGCACCAGGCTGCTTTGCCTGAAGCTGTTTTGGGAAGTGTCTCCACACAGGCACTGATCTCCCAGGCTTTGGTCATGATTTCTTTTACCATTTCATAATTTTAAACATTGTTTTTAAACCCAAAACATTTAGTGGTCAATTGCCTCTGAAGATTTAAGCAAACAAATACACTATTTCTGGGAACATTTATATTGAGATTCTTTGTGGCTCTTGGTGTGTCTCACAGGCAAAATTTGATTTGGCTAAAATAGACTCTCATGTATTTGTGTGCCCGTGTGTGTGTGTGTGTGTGAGAGAGAGAGAGACTTTGACGATTTTATTTTTTCCGCTTTGCCTACTTTATGTTATGTACTCCTGTGTTTACTAACGAGTTGATCACATGGATGTATTCATAAGACCCCTGTAATATTGATGTGATTGTTGCCACTTAAAAAGTCAACAGCTGATTCCTTAAACAACTGTCACAGAATGGCTGGGCTGAGAACGCTGCCCAGGGCCCTGCAGCTGGTGGAAGGAGGTGTCTGCTGGGAGAGGTGTCTGGTGCCTCGGCCTCCTGCTTCACGTCTCTCACTCGAGAGTTGCTTATGGTTTCACACTTTTTAACCCCTCTGTGCTTTAGCAGCCGTGACCTTGCCTTCGTTGCTTCATCCAGTGCAGGCCTGGGTTATTGAAGAAACCAGAGTGTTTCTCTTTCAGTTTGAAAACCAGGCAGGTTTACACATGGGTTTCAGTGTATTTGCCTTTGAACCCTTTAAACTAAACTTTTGCCTCTTGGCTAGTGTTGAATATATTCAGCTGGGGTGGCCTGGGGTGACCTGGGATGGTGGTGTGGTTTACCGTCTCGTCTCCAGCTTCAGCCTTTCCGGAAACCCTTGTGGAGGGCAGTGTTGGCTGCTTTCCTCATCATATTGCAGTTCGAGGTCACCACTATTTGGGGGACAAGCTTGCGTCCTGCTGAGGGGCAGGATTTTCAGCAGAGCGTCAGTGGTGGGGCTGGGCCATCGTGGAGGTGGCCTCAGGTTGTAATGTCATGCCCAAACACACCTTGTGTGGCCTGCTCAGAGCTGGATGCCGCCTTTAGGCAATGTTTAGAGTCTATTTTCTAAAGTTTTAAGTATTTTAAGAGGTATTGAGACTAATGAATATAATAGTTCAGTAATTTAAATGCTTATTTATTTTCAATGGAAGGATTTTTATTAAAAAGAAGCAAATCGACATGGAAATGTCAGTGAAATTTCTTACCTGCAAGGAAAGTGAATATTTTGTATTTAAGTAAACTATGATGTACACATTTTAATAAAGAAATCTGACATTTGAAAAAATGGTGATTCTTTTGAAATGTGAACCAGCTCTACCAATGGGAGTTGTGGTAGAGGCGGTGGGTGCAGAATGGACCCTTCTTTCTGTTCACAGACTGGACATCTGAAATCCTAGAATTTCTTCTGTCGAAGGAGACAGCCCAAGGGTGAGATGGAAAGTGATGGATGGAAATCAGTGATAGATCGTCTCCCTGGAGCTGATCTGGGGGAGACTGTCACAGGACAAGACCCTTGATTTTACACAGATTAAAGGGCAGCTGAGATGCATGTAAACTACACACTTACAAAGTGCACGCGCGGCAGCCCTGCCTGAGGGCACCTCGGAGGAATTTAACCTGTGTCAGCGGCCACCCCTCTGCTTCCTGGGTTTGAGTGTCTCGCTAAGGCTGAGTTTGTGGTGCTCTGTGGGGTGCCCTTGACCCCTTGTTTTCTTCTGCCCCACCCCCACTTTTGTTGTGCCGGTGGGGGCGGGGCAGTGGTCTCCAACAGTCTGGTCTGTGGCTTTGGAGGAGTCCTGTTGGCACCTCCCTGGCCAGGCTGTGCAGAGGCTGGCAGGAACTCAGTCCCTCGGCAGGCACGGAGCAGACACCAGCCTGGGTGTGTGCTGGGCAATTCCTTGAGGCCCTGCCTATGCCCAAGGTCTTCAGTCCGCAGCAGTGCTTTTGTTAGGGGGGACTGCAGGTGCCCCTCCTCCTGGCAGCCTGAGGGGTGCCGGCTGGGCTCCTCCCAGAAGTTGGAGGTTGAGTTCAAGGAGGTTAAGAGTGGAAAGTTCCTCGACCAGCAGAACACCTGCAGGAGAGTGCCACAGTGAGCCCTGGGCTGGAGGTGATCAGACAAGGGGCTGCCCTGGGGCACGGCCTGCGCACTGCTTTCCAGAGGCTGCACGCCAGAAGGGGAGGGTCAGCAGCCTCCTGCCCTGCGGCTGGACGACCCGCTTGCTGCGAATCTCGGCGAATCCCAGCGCCTCAGCGGGGCCTGGAGCTTAGGGAGGAGCGGGCGCGGCCCCGAGAGCGGCCCAACCCAGCCAGGCAGGGAGGCGCGCCCGACGCTGCCCGCCCGAGCACCGGGGAGGGGGACAGGCGGGGGTGGGGACCGGGGCGGTGAGAGGGGCCCCCGAGAGGTGGGCGGGCGCGCGGGCGGGGCGGGCAGCGGGCGCCTCCTTCAGCACCGCGGACAGCGCCCGGCCCAGTGGCTCCCGGGCTCCCTGCTCCGCACGACGCGACGGGACTTGGGAGCCCCGAGCCCTCCAGGGGACGCCGACCTAGGAGGAGCGCGGCTCGCGCCACTCGGCCTGGTGGCCGCGATGCTGCTGGAAACGGGGCTCGAGCGCGACCGAGAGAGGCCTGGGGCCGCCGCCGTCTGCACCTTGGGCGGGACTCGGGGTAAGCCCCAGCAGGACACCGAGGACAGAAACCGGCAGAGGCGCGAGGAAGTGGGTGCGTGTAGGGCCAGCGGCCAGGCAAAGAAAGTCCCGCCGCTCTGCAGGCGGGACACAGAGATGGGAACAGTGCAGAGAGTGAGTTTCCAGATCCCAGGGTGGCAGGGAGGGCCTGACGCTGGCCTGCAAGAGTGAGGGACAGCAGTTGGAGTGGAGGCCCCCAGAGAAAAAGGGGCATCGCAGGCACATCTGGGGGGCGATGGGGCTGAGCAAGGGGTGCCAAGTTCTCCCGGTGACCAGTGCCCCTCAGCTCTTGCACACAGCCCTGCCCAGGCCTCTGGACCCCACAGCAGGGGACCCAGGGCTGCGTCTCCCGCCTGAACCACCCTCTCCAAGGGCCATTCCATCACCACGGACGCTGGGAAATAATGGAGGCATTGTTGGAGGGCTGGCCAGATGCCAGCAGAGTGGGCTGCCTCCTTGACCTGCCGCCGCCCCTTCCCTCATCCAGCCACACAGGGCCCCTGCTCCCTTCGGCAGCAGCTGACGCTCAGCCACCTGCACCCAGCACAGCCCGCACACACTCGGCTTTGCGCCCGCATGTCCTTGCCCTGGCCCTTCTCGGGTAACAAGTGCGGTGCAAAGTGAAGGGGCAGAAAGAGGGCTGCGTGGGCCACTGCTCAGAACAGACACATTGGAACTGCTGGGAGCTGGGAAGGAGGGACTGTGGTTTCTTTTGCCCATCCTTGTGAGCTTGGGCCCTTAAAGCTCACAGTCCAGAAGCCATGGACAGAGTGGACAGAGTATTACTGTGAAACCCACAGGGAGAGGGACCTGGAGGATGGCATCAGCCCCTGGTCCCCCAACCCTTCCTGGGTGTTTCTGTGCGCTGCCAGGGCCCCCTGCCTTCGCCATGTCCTGTGCTGCCGAGGGCCGCCCACTGCTGGGTTCTTCCCCGGGTGGCTGCCCAGGGCTGGTGCTGGCCCAGGGCCCTCTGGGCAGCGGTGGGTGCATCCCTCTGCCTGCAAGGACAGAGTGGGTTCTGGAGAGCTCACCTGTGTGGACTGGGGCAAGGGGCTGGAATACCAGGTAAGGGACCCTGTTCCGATGGAGCCAGAGGCTGTGGGCTGGAAATGGAGGGTGTGCCCTGGGGCTTCCCCAGCTCAGCCCCCCACCACCCGAGGTCTTGGCTGCGTGTCCAGGACACAGCCTATTCTCACTCAAGGATTGCCCGTCCTCCCTGAGCCCAGTCCGGGGCCGCAGTTCCAGGGGTGGAGCCCAGAAGCCCGTTAACATCTGGGATCGGTCGGACACCTTGTGGTTCCCGGACGCAGCCTTCAGCGCCACACTCACCCCTTCTGCGTTTCGGGTTGAGCTCCTGCCGACCATCTGCGGCTCCCGAGGCCAAACCTCAGCGGCGGGAGGACCCGGCCGCCTTCTCGACCCCTATCCCGGGAACCTTAGCCCTCCTGGCGTGTGCTCCAGCCCAGGCCTCTGCCCTCGGCCCGCTCCTGCGCAGGAAGCTGCGGGGCCGGGACGAACGCTGGCGGGCAGCTCTGACCTGAGCCTTCCCCTACCGGTGTCCGCCCTCGGGCCGGGCACGCGGGGCGGCCTCTGGGCACCGCAGGTCCCGGCGCAAAGGCGCGCAGAGTCCGCAGTCACCCCGGGCTGGTCTCCGCGACCCCCGGCCCCGCCCCGCACCGCGGCCCCGCCCCCCGGCCGCTCCGCCCTCCGCTCGGCCAGAGGCTCCGGGCCCCAGGGCGGCCCGCGGGCGCAGCACCCAGCAGCACCGGGAGTCGCTTGGACGCCGGTTCGGGACCACTGCGGGGTGGCGTCGCCGGGCCCGAGAAAGTTCGGGACCGGAGAGTGGCGACGCCGGGCGGCGGGACCCATGGAGGCGCGCGGGGAGCTGGGCCCGGCCCGGGAGTCGGCGGGCGGCGACCTGCTGCTAGCGCTGCTGGCGCGGAGGGCGGACCTGCGCCGAGGTGGGTGCCCGGGCAGATCGGCTGCACCGGGGAGACCCGGAGATCCTCGGGCCTTTCCGGGCCTGGCCGCGGAGGCTGGCAGGAGCTAGAGGACCTGGGCGGGAGTGGGTGCGAGGACCCCGGAACGTCCGCGCCTGGGCGCCTCAGCCTGAATTTGTTTCGGGGCCCCTGGCCTGGGTTGTCAGGGAGTGAGTGAGGTTGTGGCACCGCACTGCTCAGGCCAGGGAGCTCTCGGGGGTCCAGGGTGGGCTTAGGAGACCTCTGCAGCCCTGAGCCGGCCCCCTGGGCTGGACGAGGCGCAGGGAGCAGTGGCAGGGCAGTGACCACGGGACCGGAGGGTCCCCAAGAGGGTCGCCCCACCCGAACTGTTTCCACGTTCCAGCGGAACAGAGTCAGATGCAGGGGCCAAGGTCGAGCTGAACTCCGACCGTCGGTCTCCCCCGGAAATCAGGTTTCAGCGTCTGAGTCCACAGACACCTGCTCGGTTTATCCCCGGTCAGGGCCCGTCTGTAGGAAAAAGCCTCGCTTCTCCGAGGCCCCCAATTTCCTGCTGGAAATACTCTAGCTCCCAGCACTTTGGTTCTTAGAGAACCTGGGCAGTTCTCTTCGACTCCCGGGCCAGCTGGAGCCGCAGGATGGGGAAGGAGGCCCCTGAGCCAGTGGGGAGTGGGAGGGACCGACCGGCGGGAGGACGGGGTTCCATCCAGGTTGTGGGGGCTCGAGGTTCCCTACTTATTTATTTATTTATTTATTTATTTTCGACGGTTCCTGGGAGGGGTTGACCGCGGGGGCTGGGAGGCGGAGAGAGGGAGGGAGGGAGGAGGGCTGCGCGCCCTGCGCTCCGGAGAGCTGGCCAGAGCGGGCAGGCTGGCTTCCAGGCTCCGCCGACCCCGCCATCCCTGGCAGCAGGAGACCCCGCCGGGGCTGGAGTCGCCATGCAGCGTAAGACTGGGGTCGCGGGCGCGGCGCGGGGTGGGCTGGGGCGGCTTTTGCCCGACGCGGGCTCCGGCGGCGCGTTGCGGCCGAGGCGCTGTCCGATCCGCGGTGCTGAATCCGCGCTGTGTGGGCCTGTCGGGCCGCCCCGCTCTATGCCGGGTCCTAGCCGCCCTGCGATCGCTGCCTGCGATGGGGACCCCGGGCGCGCGGCGGGTCCTCAATACTCCGCACCCGGAGCTGCTGCGGTTTTGCCGGATGCGGGGCGCATTCATCGCCGGTTTCCCGCCAGTGCGGGGGGAGGCGGAGCCCAGTTTTTTCCGCCAGAGGCCGAGGGAGCACCTTGCCGGTGTCTCTCACCCGCTGGGAGACGGGCTGGAGCCGGCGGGGTCCACAGCCAGAGAGGCGGATGCAATAGGGCAGCAGGTCCCGGTCCCTTCAGCGGGCACTCCCGTCTTCCAGAGACTTTTTCTAAGTGAAGAGGGAGTCCTAAGCCCTTGACACCTGGAAAAGCCACTCACAGACTCCAGGCTCCCACAGAGCACCCTTGGACCTCCCCAGCGTGGTTCTTCCAGGGGGCCTGCAGTCCCGAAGTGGAGTGTGGGGGGCAGAAGCAGCGGGAAGCCGGACGTTTGAGTAACTCTGATGGTGCTGGGGGCACCCATGCCTGACACAAAGGCAGTGGATCAGCTTGTCCAGTGCACTCA